GATATTGGGAAAAAAACCATGTCCAGCCCTGGCACAGTGGCAGTGGTGGAGTCACCATCCCTGGAATTGTTAAAAAACCATGGATGTGGCACTTGGGGACGTGGTTTAGTGCTGGCCTTGGCAGTGCTGAGTTCACAGTCGGACTTGATGGTCTTAAAGGTCTTTTCCAACCTTAACAGTGTTATGGTTCTATATTTGGATGCTTCTGAGGAGGAGGAGCTGCCTCGTGTCTCGAGGAATGATTTCCTGGAATGCCTCCTGGCTTCCCAGGTGCCACCTAAATGTGCCAGGAGCTCCCACTCCAAAACTCTGCTGTGTGCCAGGTCACCTGCCATTGCTGCTCCTCCCTTAGATCCCCCAAATTTTCGTGTCCAGTGCAGGGATTAGGAGGAAAATGCCCTTTGGGGCAGAGAGGACAGTGTGGGTTAGTGCTCTGCCATGGTCCTGGGCAGTCATGGAATCATGGAATACCCACAAGGATCATTGATCCAACTCCAGCAATCCCACCCCGTCCCCGAGAGGATCATCCGAACACTCCCGGAGCTCCGGCAGCTCTGGAGCTTGTTCAGTGCCCAACCACCCCTGGGGAAAGGACCTTTCCCTGAGCTCCAACCTCACCCTGCCCTGCCACAGCTCCTCGCTTTTCTGCAGGAGCCCTGGGGAGGAATTTCTCCCCAGAATTCCCGAGGGAAGGCGCTGATCCATGAGCCATCTCCTGGTGCCATCTAGCCGCTCTCCCTGGGATCGGCCCTCGGCAGGCGCGGGCTGCAGACGGTGGAACTAATGAGGCTTTAATTAAACAAAACCCCGGGCAGCCGATGCCGTGACGTGCTGGCCACGAGTGTCGGGACACCCGAGCGCGGGGTTTGCTTTGGGGGCTGCGATTATTCCAGGGAATAATCGCGCCCTGGTTGGGAATCGCTCCTGGGCAGCTCCTGCTCGTGCAAACGCCGGGTCGAGGGGTCAGGGGATGGAATCCGAGTGTCTGGGTGTGTGGTTTGGCTGCTGCTCCCTCCAGGAGCGGGGAAGGGGCAGGGAGAGCCCCAGGGCATGGATTGGGCACGGCCAGGCTCGGGGGGAATTAAGGAACGGGGAGGGAATTAATGCTGAGCTGCCTCCCTGTGTGTCCAGGGTCATCTGCAAACCTCGGGCTGCCCTTTCCCACCTTGGCCAGGGCACCAGTGAGGCTCCTCTCAGCAGCAGGTCCCCGTTTAAGCAGCTGCCACAGAGCCAGCACTCAAGGGAACGCCTTGGGAAGGACATTTCTTGATCAAATGACTTTTCTTGAAGGACATTTCTTGATCAAATGACTTTTTTTGAAGGACATTTCTTGATCAAATGAGCCCTTTTTCTGCAGAGTGGCTACAAAGTGCTGGATTCCAAAGCTAAAATGAGCCTTAGTAGGTCACACCTGGCTCCTAATCCCGTGGTTTTCCTCCTGAGGTAAGAGGGGAGAGTCTTGCAGAGCTGATGGCTTGTGAGTTTGGGGTTCAGCTTTGTGGGGGAGGAGGAGCAGTGGTTTTAGGGGGGATTCCCTGCCTGTTCCTCCAGAGCATCCCCCAGCTCTGCAGCACCACGATGATGACACACCTTTGATGATCACACTTAATTAAAAGCTTACCCAGGTGGTGTTCAGCACCCTCAGTGGTCCCACATGTAACCTCCCCTGAATAAACTGCAATTTTGGTGGGACAGTTTCAGGAAAATGAAAACCAAACCCCAAAAAACACTTCCAGATTTGTACAAGATTTTGTCTGTGTGATTTCCCCCCCCCCTTTTTTTTTTC